AATTTCATGCAATCCCATTTGTCCAATCTTTCTTTGATTTGTTGTGTTTCTGGGTCTCTATTAAGAAAATTTCATCTGTGCTTAGGAGCCCTATACTTTCTCCTATTCCATCCTGTAATGTTTTCAGAATGTCTGCTTTTATTTTGAGGTCTTTAATCCATTTGGAGTTGATTCTGGTGCATGGTGATAAATACAGATCTAGCTTTAATTTTCTACAGGTGTTTAAACAATTTCACCAGCACCATTTACTGAAAAGGCTGGCTGGATTCTAGTCTATTTTTTTAAGCTCCCTTGTCAAAGATTAGGTGGCTATAGGTCTGTGGGTTCCTTTCTGGGTCTTTAGTCCTATTCTATTGGTCCTCAGGTCTGTTCATGTGCCAATACCAAACTGTTTTTATTACTATAGCTTTGTAGTAGAGTTTGAAATTTGGTATTGATATTCCTCCAGTACTGTTCTTTCTGCTAAGGATTGTTTTTGCTATTTGGGGTTTTTTATTGTTCCATATGAATTTTTGGTTTGCTTCTTCTTTTTCATTGAAGAATGAGGTTGGGATTATTGACAGATATTTTATTGAATTTTTATATAGCCTTTGCCAGTATTGCCATTTCTTGTTGTTAATCTTCCCAATCCAGGAGCATGGGAGGCTTTTCCACTTCCTTAGTTCTGCTTTAGTTTCCTTTTTCAGGCTTTTAAAGTTTCATCATAGAGATCCTTTACCTCTTTAGTTAACTCCTCGGTATTTATTTTTTGTGGAGCTATTACAAAAAGGGGTTGCTTTCCTAATTTCAGCCACACTTTTCTCATTGGTGGCATACAGAAAAGCCATTGATTTCTGAGGGTTAATTTTATATCCTGCTACTTTCCCAAAGTTTTAGATCAGGTCAAGTAACTTGGGAGTGGAGTCCATGGGGTTCTTTAAGTACAAGATAATGTCATCTGCAAAGAGGAAGAGTTTTACTTCCTCTTTCCCTATTTGGATTGCCTTTATGTTTGCATCTTATTGCTGTAACTAGTCATTCTAATACTAATTTGAAGAGGAGTGGAGAGAGTGGATATCCTTGTCTCATTCCTGAATTTAGACAAAATGGCTTTAAGTTTTCGTCATTAAGTAATATGCTAGCTGTAGGTTTGTCATACACAGCCTTCATTATACTGAGGAATATTCCATGGATTCCTAGTTTTTCCAGAGCTTTCATCATAAAGGGGTGTTGGATCTTGTCAAATGCTTTTTCTGCATCTATTGAGATAATCATGTGGTTTTTATCCTTGCTCTTGTTGATATGATAAATTATATTGATTTGTGTATATTGAACCAGCTTTGAAAGAAATCTTATATGCAGATAAAGAAGATAGTAAAAAAAATGTGATCTCTCAGGAGCACATAAATTTCACAAAAATAGGTTAACAAATGAAAATTAGCAAAGAACCATTTTCAACTCAGCACTAGCAAACTCTTAGGATGAAGGTAGAAAGAGAAAGTATTTGAATAACTGGAAAGCCAATAAAATTACAGGAATTACCAGATAGCAATATTCAATTGCTTGTTATCTGCAAGAAATCAGCTTGCTGGCAGACACAAATGGACTGAAAGTGAAAGGACAGGAGTGATGTACTGAGTAAATGATGTACTAAGCAAATGAGGCTGAAACAGGAGAAGTACCTATCTTCTAATCTGACAATTAGATAAAAGAATTAGATAAAGGATAAAGAAGGTCACTGTGGCCGGGAGCTGGAGGCTCATGCCTGTAATCCTAGCTACTCAGGAGGCTGAGATCTGAGGATCGAGGTTCAAAGCCAGCCCGGGCAGGAAAGACCGTGAGACTCCTATCTCCAATAAACCACCAGAAAACCGGAAGTGGCGCTGTAGCTCAAGAGGTAGAGCGCTCGCCTTGAGCTGAAGAGCTGAGGGACAGCGCCCAGGCCCAGAGTTCAATCCCCACGACCTACAAAAAAAAGAAGAAGGTCCCTGTGTATTAAGGGAATAATCCATCAAGAAGATATAACAAATGTAAATATATATACATCTTCAGTGTCATAAACACAATGGGACGTAAAGGTACAGCTAGGTGCAGATACAATAATAATGGTTGAGTTCAATACCCTACTCAAATCAATAGTTCATCCAGACCCTCCTCACCCTCCAAAAAAATCAAACTTCATAGCTAAGCTGCATCATGGAGTAAACTGATAACAGGCATCTACAGAATATTCTATCTAGCAATTTCAAAATACACATTGTTTTTAGAAGCCCATGGAACTTAATCCAAAATAGAACACATTTTGGGCCATAAAACAAGTCAACACATTTTTTTTGAGTCCAGTCGTGGGGCCTGAACTCTGAGCCTGGGTGCTGTCCCTCAGCTCTTCAGCTCAAGGCTAGCGCTCTACCACTTGAGCCACAGCCCACTTCTGGCTTTTTTCTTTTTGCTTATGTGGTGCTGAGGAATTGAACCCAGGGCCTCATGCATGCAAGGCAAGCGCTCTACCACTGAGCCACCTTCCCAGCCCAGAAAACTGGTTTTTTGATCGTAACATTACACTGCGTTCAAGTAGGTTTCTAGTAGTGAGTCATGGCTTACATGTATTAGGAAGCTATGATTTTTTTCCTTAAATATTTAAGAGGAAATATATGAACATCTTAGAAAACCCACATACCTGAAGATACCTGAAAACCTACATGATAATTTCTAAATAGCACACAATTTTTTTTGTTTGAGAAAGAATATTGCAATGTTGCCCAATGTTGCCATGCTTATCAAGTACTGATATTACAGGTATGTGCCACCATGGCTGGCTTTCCAACTATCTTTTAGCATATAAATAAACATATATACATATAGTACATAACTAGTATTATATAAAAATATATTCAACAAAGTATTAATACTACTTATATGCCAGGCACTGGTGGCTCACACTTGTAATCCTAGCTACTCAGGAGGCCGAGATCTGAGGATCATAGTTCATAGTCAGCCCAGGAAGAAAAGTCTTTGAGACTCCTATCTCCAATTAAGCACCTAAAAAAAAGCTGGAAATAGAGCTAGGGCTTGAGTGGTAGAGTGCTAGCCTTGAGCAAAACAAAAAAAACAAAACAACAAAAACAAAATCCTCAGGGATAGCATTTAGGCCCTGAGTTCAAGGCCCAGGACTGGTACATAACATTTCTTAACACTATAAGATGAAAGGGTCTGGAAATACATGTTTTGGGTAACTTTTAAAAATACCTAAAACTGAAAATTGAATGAATAAGCACATATGCTTGTGTGTGTGTCTGTGTGTGGTTTTTAACTAATAACACTGCCTTCTTTGCAAAGCTCCTTAACAATTTTGGGTTTTATTACTGATTTGTTGAATTCCACTTCAAGATTTGTTTTCTCATTGTCACTTATTCAGCTGGAATGCTGAATGGGCAATGCCAAGGGTAATTATTGCATCTCTTTCCTGACAATTTTCCAGTTCCTTTTAGATGAGGACATTGATCCAACACAAAGCATAGGTAGCTGAAAATACAACTTTTGCATATACCATTAGAGGAGTCATGTCTATAGTAAATTTGGCCTAGACAGTGAGATACTTCTTTTCAGTCCATTTGAAAATGAGAGTGTGAACTTAAAAATGAGCAATTACTGTGTTCAGTTAATGGTCTTTTATTCTCTGTCATGGAAGAACCTACTGACCGATTTTGAATGTTTAAAAATGGAAGAACCTACTGACCAATTTTGAATGTTTAAAAATGTTCTTTTAAGTCTTCCTGCTCATGATAATACAAAGGTATATTTTACCATTTTTTGTATATTTTACGAAGGATATATTTGTCACCATATTGGAGTTTGAGAAGCTGGAGCGACTGGAATTTGGTGGTGCCAAGGGAACCATTTTAAATGAGCAAATCTGGAAGATGAGTGAAGAACTTATGGAATTCTGTAAAGTTTTTAAGCAGAGCATTTATGACCTATGTGACTTCGAGAACACGGTAATGTTGTACCTCCGACTTTTCATGTCGTAGGAGCTAGCCGAAAGGAAGGAAATGCAGATAGACAGGCAGAAAACCAGAAAAGCAGAATGGAAGACAAAGAAAGTAAGGAATATTTTATATGGAATATGACTTTATTCAGCATTATGTTCATATTTGGCCAGGTAACCATCTTTGAAATGTACAAGCTAGTGTGTTAGCTTTATACGGATGTGGTGAGCAAAATTGATTCCTTAGAATTTTAGTACCTTTGGGGAAGCACGGTTAATGGGAAGAGGTTGTTGGTTGGCAGGTACCCTCCCTGTAACTGTGGAAAAGTAAGATACTCGGCAGATATTCTGAACCAGTCCCCAGAAACTTGTACAAGGTATGGCAATGGAAGGCATTCAATACATGGAAGCCAATGCGTAGTTCATTGAGTTGAATTCAAGCTCAGTAATGGCGTATGTGTGCATGCACACACACAAATAGAATATAGAAGTTCCTCTGTCAATACCTTAAAATTAATACATGAATGAATCAAAAGTTTACTCAACTTGTATACTTATATCGAAGACTTAACTTTTTTTTAGGTGAAGTGGTTGGATATCATTAATGCCTCAAAATGTTTTTGCTTAATAAGCTGCTCACCCTGGCACTTTTATAAATTGTTTATATTATGTTGATTTCTAATGAAATCAGTTATGTATATGTGCATGCATGTATATACACACACCTCCCTTTGCCTTTCTCCTTCCTTGCATATACCCTCATTCATGAGTCCGCAGTGCCTACCGTATATTCTGCCTCCACAACACATGAATGGCGTAGTCAGCCTTCCTACACTTTGATATTGAAATAGTTTAAATATATGCCAGTAAATTAAATGACTGCTGGTCATTTCTTTATGAGATACGGTTTTTGATCTTTCTTGGTGTGGTGAAAGCTCTGTTGGCTGTTGTGGTGCACATGTGCAGAAGCTGAGGATTTTCTCATATGTTTCCTGAAGAGTGTGCTTGACTTTCTCAGTTATTTACATTGAATGGAAAGGTTCCTTCAGGTATTGTCTCTTCCCCAAGGAGGGACCAGTTGAGATGTGGATAGTTAAAGGAGAGACTTTTTCAATGTTTCAAAGTTAGTTAGGCGATTTTAGACTCAGTAGCTTTGTTTTGCTAGTCTTTGGTGGTGCTACTTGCTTAGTTATCTGAGAAACTATTTCATCAAGAGTAGAAGTTATCCTTCTTGAAGGCAGTTCCTTGGCTTCATAAGCCCTAATCAGATTACCTTTCATATTCCAGAATGTCAGGCATTGTGTCAGAACCTCCACGTACGTTTCCACAAAGTTGTCACAGTAAACCTGAGAGTGGCCACTTAGGCAGAGGACAAGTATATTACCTCAGATTATAGTTTCCAGCTGGTTCAAATCTAGAGCTCTCAACCCAAACCTTGCATTCTTTTTACTATGTGAAACTTGCCCCAGGATCTATGTCCGGGATGGAGAAAGCCAGGTATTTCTGTCCTCACTTTTAGTAGAATGCTAAGACAGATACTTAGTGTGATATCTTACTAGGATCTAAAATACCTATTTTTGGTGTTTTCAGATAAGGTATAACTTTTTTATAATTTATTTTTATTATTATCTTTAAGTGGTTGTACAAAGAAGTTCTCATTCTACAAAACAGTATATGAAAGTGACTGACAACATTGTCACCCATCCCTTTTCTCACTTTTTTCTTTGAGATTAGGTGATTACATAAATTTCACATATTTCACAGTATTGTGGAACAGTGATACTTAGTTAAAGTCACAAACACATTTTAACCTTCATAAGGCAAATTGTCATTATCATGGTCAATACAGTTCATGAATTCTATGAGCTTTGACAATACAAGTTTTTTTCCTCCATATCAGGTGATTATTTACATTTCTTTCCTTTTGCTTAGTGTAGGCAGTTCCCACTTATTCTGTTCCTCCTTCTGGCCTCCCTCCATTGTAAGGTATCACTTTTTAGTTCAGACTGGCCTCCAACTCACTATGTAGCCCATGGTGGCCTTGACTTCTCAGTCTACTGCCCAACATTCAAAGTGCTTGAGTTACAAGGCCTGCATGACCAGGCCTGTAACTCAAAGGGAAGGCTGCCTATTAAAAAGAGCTTCATTAAAAAAAAGATCTCCAGGGCTGGGAAGGTGGCTCAGTGGTAGAGTGCTTGCCTTGCATGCATGAGGCCCTGGGTTTGATTCCTCAGCACCACATAAGCAGAAAAAAAAGCCGGAAGTGGCACTGTTGCTCAAGTGGTAGAGCTGTAGCCTTGAGCTGAAGAGCTGAGGGACAGTGCCCAGGCCCAGAGTTCAGGCCCATGACTGGACTCCCCCCCCCCAAAAAAAAAGATCTCCATTCCAACAGATGTATAAACTGCAGAATAAAAATGCAGGAAATATGACAATCTAAAGCAATGTGGACTTCCTCAACTCCTCATAACTCCTCAATAACTAAATCTAAAGATACTGAAATTGATGAACTCTCAGATAAAGAATTCAAAAGTTGGGCTTTAGGTTATAGCAAATTAGTAGAGTGCCTGTATAGCAAGCTTAAGGCTCTGGATTCAAACTCCAGAAAGGAATGAAGGAAAAAAAGGAAGGGATCAAAAATCTAGTTTAAAAAATGACAGCTGGCCAGGAAAATTCAGTTGACAAATCAAGTAAGGAAGTCAGGAAGGAAGGAAGGAAGAGCTGGATGAGAAAATCAAGTTGGTGAGAAATTCAATGAGGAGATTGAGATTCTGAAAACCAACAACAGCAAAAAAGAAATATTAGATATGAAAAATAACACAATGGAAAGTATCTTCAGTAGACTAAATCAAGCAGAAGAAAGACTATGAGGAATTGATGAGGATAAAAAGTTTGCACTCAGCAATAAAGAAAAAAACATACATGACCAGTACTTTCAAGAACTCTAGTATATGATCACGAGACTATACCTAAGAATTCATGAGGTAGAAGATGCTCAGTTTTAAATCACAGGCATAGAAATTGAATGCAAAAATTCCCCCTAACTTCAGGGGCTATATGGATTGTCTTCCAAATTAAAAAAGGCATTTAGTCATATGGAACAATAAAAGACCCCGAATAGCAAAAACGCTCCTCAACGGAAAGAACACTGCTGGAGGAATATCAATACCAAATTTCAAACTCTACCATAAAGCCATAGTAATCAAAACAGCTTGGTACTGGCATAAGAACA